GGTAAAGACATGAAATATAAAGACGCGGAAATATTAAGATATTCATTCATACATCTAAATGTTTGCTTCGACTAACACCGAACGTCTATGTACAATAATTGCTAATTCCTACAACTGGTTTGCGCAATTTCCTCGTTGGCATTACAAGTACCGACGCGATGTTTTTTACTCATTAAAAAGATCAAGCGAATAAATTATTTCCTATAAAAATAAAGAAAGTGACGAAAAATCAAATATTTCATCGATAGGTATAATTATTAAAAAATCAAAAAATTTTTAAATTCCATCTTTTCCAGAAAAAAATATACAATACTTGATATTAATAGAATGGTCAATAATGACCACTCACAATCAGTACTTTTAGCATTAATATGCGGTTTGTTTGAAGAGAGTAACATTCACGCAGCTATATCGTATAACAGTAGAGAGTTTAAATATATGGGATCGTTGGTTCTTCGGCTGTAAAAGAAAAGTATGTATTCATATTTTTACATGGCATAATGCGAATACATAAAAGAATATACTTGTTTAAAGCACTTCGTTGTTTATTTGCTATTAAATAATTTTTACGGTTTATTGTTTAAAGATAATATCTCGATAAATATCATGACAGACATTACATGATTAGCAATAAGACGTAACGTAAGAGATACAATCTATCATATTCTTACAGTCTAATCATTTCATATCATCGTTGTAATACATATAGAGATCTTTTGTATCGTTAACTAAAAATACTTCCTTATTAATTGATATTATACGTGATAAATACACAAATGATAAATACATGAAATAACATTTTTAAATGTACTTATATAAAAATGCAGCTATATAAGTGAAAGCATATACGACAAAATCATTTCTACCGGAAAAGTTTTATTATTTACCTACGTAAAAAGCGTAAAAATAAAAGAATGTTTAGAAATTAAAAGAGAGTTTCCTGTATATTTTCTCGAATAGCATCGATATCGATTCTTGAATCTTAAATGATTAGATGTAAGAAAACATGTTTTGCTTAGACTATTAATTTTATTTTGCTAAGGAAGTCTATTTCGTTAAAATTGAAGCTCTATTAAGATTGAAGAGTAGAATTGTATTCTTCTCGAATCATAATAAATGCACATGCTCGAGCATTGGATTGACGGATGATATAACCGGAGATACCGTGTCAATGTCAGCTTGTGCGGAATCAAGGCCAGCAATTTGTAGTAAAAAGAAGTCTCCGCGGCTAGCGATCATTTTGTCGCGAAATTTGCCGCAGAGGCTTGAATATGATAAGGGAAAAGAGTGAAAGGATAAGGAGCGGCACAATACAGCCGAGAGAGCCTCTCTCACGGTTATTCGCCACAAGCAGCTGTCTTTCTCAATGTAACGCGGTATGCGTTTCCGTCTCTTCCCGTTCACTACACACGGTCGCTCTCACCCTTTTATTTTCACTCACTCTTCCTTTCCCTGCACCCTATTCTACCTCCCGCGTGTTCCTGTTACTTTCTATTTTCTTACCCGACAGTACCTATACGCTCGAGATGTACACGTGTGTACGAGATCCATTAACGTACTGTACGAGATAGACAATGTAGACATGCCGACTGAAGAATCATAAATTTTTAATTGAGTGTTGTAAATTAATAAATCACTTTCTGTGAATTTTTTGAAAGTTGAAAGCTCTTTTTAGAAAAAATGTGAAAAAAAATACCGTTACTTAATTGTTGACGTTTTTTGACGTTTATAATGATCTAAATGTTGTTTCTTATATAAAAAGATATTTAATTATTTTTTCTGAGATAACATGTCTATGTATAATATTTAAAATCTATGATAATATATAATAATACTTCAAAAACATATTTTTAAAAAAATACGTTTAAAGAAATAAATTTAATAGTGTTATCTCTAACAACATTCTTAACATAGGTTTAATATAGATATTTATAAAATCAATTATTCAAAAAAATCTTTAAATTAAATAAATTCTTAAATCAGTTGAAGATAGCGCTTTTGCAATAAGTTATATTATTTATTAAAATTTATTAGCTCTTTCAGTTTTTTTGAAAATCTTTTATTAGCTTACGATTTATAGCGCTAAACGATTTTGTTAATAAAAAAATAAAAATTAGCACAAAGATATTTAGAGCAAATGTAGTTCAATGAATGTACCTAAATTGAATACCATTCATACCATTTGAATATCTAAAACGTCTTGTAAAAAATTCTCCACGTAATTAACGCTACTGTAAGATGCGAGGTAATTTTCCACTCTGTGCTTTCACATGGTTGCATTAACAAAAATCTCCCAACAATTAAATAGTGAGTTGTTTGAGTAGATATACTTGTTATTTCTTTGTTGCGAATGTAACGAAATGTATACTCGCATATATTGTAGTTGGCAATAACCTGTACAGCAATGAAATGTGAAGATTTGAGAAAGTTGAAGTTCAAATTGGATTGAAATTTATTATATCTATTGTTCTTACTAACTCATTAATTTTATGTTAATAACACAAATTCAATAGACATTGGGAATTCTTTTTCAGGGTACTTTTTAGATCTAATTAATTATTAAAATAGAAAGAGAATTTTGAGACAAAACGAAATTCTTTTATATAATTATTATTTTTTTTATTTAATCAGCAAAAAAAGCTGGCACAAAAAATAAAATTATAATATTTATTTTTTTAATTTATTCTCCTCTCTTATAAATTTCTTTTAATTAACATGTGTTTATTATAAAGGAGGATGTTAAGTTAGGGCTGTTTTTCGGTTAAAATGAAAAAGTTCCGAGATGTATAAATTATGTGTCATATTAAAACTGAAAGCAGAGTCAAGTGTATCGGTTATCTTGAGGATTGTTAACTTAGTCCTTTAATATGACATATAACTTGACATCTCGAAACTTTTTCATTTTAGCAAAGAAGCAGCTCTAATTTAACATCCTTCTTTATTTGCATCATGAATAAAAGTTTATTTGACATCTCAAAATCGTTGCGTGCTTTTTCAGGTAATACCAATTCATTTATCAGGTAATATCAATTTACATAATTACATTTATTTAATATCCATATACTAATTCAAATATTAATTAAACAAATGCTTTATTCATTTTATACAATATAAGGTAATATCGATTATAAGGTAAGACTTATTCTAGAAGCTAGTAATCATTAATAATCTAAGAATATCTTTGATTAAATGACAAGATTTGAAGTAGTAATGCAATTAATTTAAAACTCATATATAATCTCTTTAACTTTACAATAATCTACATATATATATATATATAGTAAAAATTGCGTTTAAAATTAAATGAGTTTAAAATTAAGATAAAATATAAATACGTTATTATGCAGAATCTTCGAAGTATAATTATATCAGAGCTAAATTGCTTTTGACTACGATGTGTTTGTGTTATCTATATACACTGATTATATGTTATTTGCGCGTTCGTACGTTATTTGCTCGTTCTAGTTTGCGGTGAGTCGATATCCGCGATCGGTTAAAATCTGTATAATTAATACAATTGCTTAATCAGTATAGAATTAATTTCTCTCACGCGATATGCGTAACAAACGATAAGTGATCGTTGCTGATAAGTTAAATCATGTATGTAAGTCATATCTGTGTGTGCGTGTAAACGTATATAATTCTGTGTTACATTATTATAGGTATTTTGTAAGGAAATCTATGCGTTCCCATACAATTAATACTTTATGAATAATGTATATGTTATCCGAGAAGAGTTAATGTTTATTATCATATCGCATAATTTATATATGTCATTGAAAAAGATGTATGATTTGTGTATGGTTTTAACACACCGATGCCAACTTTGTGCAGGGAAATTAAAATATTATCTATTAAGAAAAATTGTTAACAGATTTTACTTAAATTTTGTAAGTGGTGATTTTGCGACATATTGTGACTTATTATAGTTTCTATATCATTCGTTGGCCTGTACTTGCACTTACTCAAATAAAGAAATTGTAATTAATAATTTATTATCTATATTTATTATCTATATTTATAAAAATAAATTCGATAATACACGATAATAAAGATCAAAGATCATATGTTTAAATTTCGTGTTCTTATGCAGTACGTAAACATGCATTTCTTTTATAACTGAAATATTTGAGCAGGAATTATAAAGAGATATGCGAGTTGTTTATAATATTCTATTTTCTAGTTCATTTTATTCTGGAAATCGGGGAAAGTGTATAACCAATAAAAGTAATAGTTCTGAATCGATGTTAATACTTTTTCTATCTACTCACATATCGCGCCAAACTCATAAATCATAAAGATCAATCATTGCAATGCGCTTATCACGAATTGCCAATTGCAATGGAATTCTTAAATAATACGGTGCGAGAAAAAAATAACCAGCAATATCTTTGATTAATCTACAAATCAGTTAATCTACCAATATAATTTTTGCTCGCGCAGAGATAAGGTCAGATTAGTATAATAAGAAGATCAGGACAATCATGAAAGAAAATCTTTTCTCCGCTTTTTTCATTTCTCTTTCGTTTATAAAATTTATTTTTGGTATACAACAGTTGTGAAGTATCAGCTGTAGAAACTAGTAAGACATTATACTGCATATGCTCTGATTACCGAAAAGAATAGTTAATGGCAATCAATCATCATAAATATCGATATACATATGTCGGCAAAATCGAGAAAGCTCAAACGTGAATTTCTCTACCAACTGAATTTCTGACCAAGCTGGGTCACGGTTGTTCTTGTTCACAGAAACGCATTACGTGCCTACATGCAGCAGGCATCATCTGGTACATGTACTTCGGGTATACGGCGAGGAGGTATGCCCACCAGTTTTGTACGTCATCACGCGGTCGGTTTCTTTTTGAGTGTTCTTCCGAGAGTACCTCCGGTGCGGTGGTACCCGATCTTTATTTCATCCCCACTCCGTTCTTCCGGTATTTCCTCTCGTCTGGTATATATACAGGTAAGACCGCGGCTGCACATATATGACAGTGTATACCGGGTCGCCGTGGTGAGCTGTGGAGGAAGGAAAAAGTTCAAGATCCAGTAGCGTCCTGGATACCAGAATGGAAATCAAATACGCTGTAAGATATTTAAATGGATAAAAACCGTCGTTTCACTGAGAATACAGGACTTTGCGTGCAATTGATGTTTGAAAGTGTCTTCGTTCAGTGGATTTTTTCGCATCCAAATCTACAATCGCGCGAATGACAGTTTTATAATTTCGCTCGAACTATTGTAATAATTAGAAACTTTAACTTAATAAGAATAATATATAATAAAATAGTTTTCTGTGTACAGTAATTAAATTTTAAAGTTGTAAGTCGAAATTAATGATTACAAACAATAAAATTTTGGTTATCAGAGCAGATCTTTTTTTGATACAGAAAAAATAATTTTCTGAAAGAGTTTAAAATTGTACTTAATTATAATAAAAATTTTCAACACACTATATATATTTATAATGCATGTTTTTGTTATTAATAAAAAATTTGATTAATTAAAAAATTTTATTGTAACTGAGAATTGTTTGCTTTAGCAATTATTTTCAATTTTATTTTTTGTTACACAATAAAAAATCGATTTAAAAATCAATAACAATATTTAATGTAAAAAATATTGTTAATAAGATTTTTATTTCTCAATACCTAAATGATGATTTTATTTTGTAAAGTATAAGAAAAAAGTTATAAATTACTCAATTTTCAGTTTTTTTTTGTTTATAAAATCCTTACTTTTTTGACATTTATGGATGTAATAGAACTTTATATTTTTTTTCGTCATCTAAAAATACATAAGAATAATCATTCAGGTTTTGAGAAAGAGTAATATTGTAAATCAATATTATATATGTAATCTTTCCGATTTTTTATTTTGTAATGCATACAAGGATACTCATAAATAATTCTCGGAAACAATATGGAAAACAATAAGTAAAATACGTTTTTTAAGTTATATGATACCGCGTTTAGCATTACATTTATTACATTCATATAGTTGAAATTAAAAAAATAATGGATTATTAAGAAGACTTATTTAATTGCAGATAAAGGTCATCATTCTTGCAAATATTCTATCAGTAGGCTTCGCAACCTTTGGACATGAGCAGTGAGTCCCAATCATAAAAATATTAGTAAAATTTATTATAATGATCGATGATGAATTATGTTTTCAGAGAATGTTAGATTCAATTTTATAATTAAAAATAGAGAAAATACCAACAAAATAAATTTATATCATTTTATAGCAGCCTACTTAAACACTCATGTGTAATTAATTACACGTTTGTGTATAATTAATTTATTCAGAAATGCAATTAATTCATGTACAAATTAGTGAAAGAAGATGAGAAATAAGATTCTTCGCATATCTGTAATTACCGACATCTTAAAATGTACGTTAATTAGGACCGCGCTGTTCCTCGTTTTAAGCACACTTTTTATATTTCAGTGTACATATAAGGATACATTTACCGGAGGTAGTGCAGCAACATGAAAAACATATCATAAAATATGAAGATCATGGCGGAGGAGGTCACGGAGGTGGAGGTGGAGGCGGCGGAGGTGATGATCATCACATTGATGTTTCCGGTCCTGGAGACATAGGAGGTGGCCATGGAGGGGGTTTCGGAGGAGGTCATGGAGGTGGATACGGAGGAGGCGGTGGTTTCGGAGGTGGTTTTGGAGGGGGTCATGGAGGAGGTGGAGGTTTTGGAGGTGGTCACGATATTGGTGGTCATGACGATATTGGCGGAGGTAAGGAGAAATTGTTATGAAAGATACATTCTAATTTTGAATGTTGTTATTTTTTAATAATATTCAAAGTATTAATATCAATTTTTTTTTTGTTTATAAAATGAATTTGTAAAGATAGAGGTATTCAGGAAAAGAAACGCCGGAAGAAAAATAATATATTATACTATGTATTATTTATTAAGCAATGAATATATGTGATTAATGACTAAATGCATTCGTGATAAAATGCATTAAGAAAATGCAAAGAGATGAAATTAAAGTTTCCACTTAATAATTATTAATGTAAATTATTTTAAACATGAATAGAAATTTATTCTATTTTTATCTTGTTTAAATAAAAAATTCCTTTTTCTTTCTTCTTTCATTCTTTTTCTCTTTCTCTTTTTGTATCATATTTATGATATCAAAATAAATAAAATGTTAAAAACAATAATTTATTTTAGGTGGAGATATCATTGTAGATCATGGTGGTGGTCATGGAGGAGGAGGTTACGGCGGTGGCGGTGGTTTTGGAGGTGGCCATGGAGGAGGTGGTTATGGCGGCGGCGGAGGAGGTGGTATCATCATAGATCATGGAGGACATGGTGACAGCGGCGGCGGAGGTTTTGGAGGTGGTCACGGAGGCGGCGGTTACGGCGGCGGAGGTGGTGGAGGCGGCGGTATTATCATAGATCATGGAGGACATGGCGGCGGCGGCGGCGGCGGTTTTGGAGGTGGTCACGGAGGTGGCGGTTACGGCGGAGGAGGTGGCGGAGGCGGCGGGATTATCATAGAGCACGATGAACATGGTGGTGGCGGCGGCGGTTATGGAGGTGGTGGTTTTGGCGGAGGACATGGAGGTGGCGGCGGTGGCTTTGGAGGAGGTGGTGGATACGGAGGAGGACATGGTGGTGGTTTTGGAGGTGGCCACGGTGGTGGATTTGGAGGTGGCCACGGCGGTGGATTTGGAGGTGGTCACGGCGGTGGATTTGGAGGAGGAGGTGGATATGGCGGCGGTGGTGGCTTTGGTGGTGGTCACGGAGGAGGTGGATTTGGTGGACATGATATCGGTGGAGATGATCATGGCTCCAGCGGTTATGGCAATAGTATATCATCTGATTTTGGTAGCAGGTAAATGTCGAATTTTGCTAAAGTTAATTTACATTTGTAGAAATAAATATTAATAAAAAAAATAATAAGTCTCAATTATTGTACATAAATTATCTTATACACGTATAATATTTCATATTGATATTTTTTCAGTGGCCACGGCGGAAGCAGTTACAGTTCTGGCGGCTTCGATTCCTATTCAAGCGGTCACGGCGGTGGCGGTGGAGGTGGCGGTGGTGGTGGTTACGGTGGAGGTCATAGTGGTGGTTTCTCCGGTTATCACAAAAAGAAATAAGAAATTATTCTACTGTAATCAATACAAGTTGGACATTGCAGTTATTTACAGTTATAAATATCTGCACACTGACATATTTCCAACTGATATTTGATTGATTGATACAAAAGCAAGTTTAAATCTTCAGTAGAAATCATTACGCTGCCACTTTAATTGTGTGATATACCATATATACAAAGAAGAATTTAATATTGTTTATTTTTTTTTGTACGAATTTTAAGACTGAAATTTTGTTGGTTTTTTAAATTTTTATTAGTAATTTTTTATAACAATATCAACAGAAATATGTTAAACGAGACTATTTCACTGGTTTTACATCTGATTATTATTTGACATAACGAAATGACGACAAACTGACATACGTAATTTATATTTCTATAAAGTCATAGGAAAGACGGATGTATAGATTCATCAAAAAATAGTTTCTTTAAACAATTAGTCAGTAAAAAATTAATTTGACATTTTTTAAAAATAAATTATCTTACTCTTTGTAGACTAATGTAGACCATTGTATCAAATAGACCCGACTTAATTACTATATTTATGACGCCGTAAAAACTAGATTAGACAATTTTTTCAATTGTTATAGAATAATAAATTAATACAGTAAAATATTGAAACAAATACACGCTGACTTAACTCGACTAATTTTTACGACAGATTTATGATACCGCGAGAAAAATTTATCATAAAAATAATTATTTTTTGGAAATATTATTTGAATACTTGAATTTATATACGATAAATCACAAATTTTTAAAAATATGTATTGCTGAAGACATTACTTTAGAAGTAGATATAGTAGAAAATGGGAATATTTACAATTATAAATTCAAGTAAGCGTTAAAGACATTTAAACTGGTTTGTGATAAAAGCTATTAAGCGCATATAATTATAAAAATCGTAATAATTCATGATTACGATTATGTTACACATTATTTTTTATTATTTTTATATTTTTATACCTCATTTTTAAATCCGGCACGCACCTCAATTTAGATCTTTACGTGCCTTGCTCACCAAGCACTTTAGAAAATATACACAATTTTTGCGATCAAAAAATAATTAAATATATATATATATATATATATGTAAATAGAACATTGTATTATGATGTTGTTCCAATAAAGTTTTTGTATGTTTTTAATATATGACATTATTTTTTCTTTATGTTTGAATTATATACTCAATTAAGAATGGATGTTCTTATCACAAAAGAAACTGACAACACTGGGTCATCAAATATGCAGGAAGCCAACACACACTGATAGATACTTACATGCGGAATCACCATCCAGCACAAAAATAGGCAGCAATTCACTCTTGTGCATAGAGCATTATATATCCTCTGATAGAGAGATACTAAATCTGCAGACAGAATTCAACCACTTGAAATAAACCTCGCAACAGAACGGATATAAACAGGAGGATATAAACAGAACAATCAATACAGGCTTAGGACAAGAAACTCATATACACACAACACCACAGAATGAGTTAAACAAAAGAAGTCTTTCTATCCTCCCATATGTAAAAGGAAATAAACAATAGACTGGATAATCGACAAGATTTTGAAGAAACACAATATCTGTTCATTGCACGGTGTTGAATTATTATTGTTGAGTAATTGCATTAATAACATATTCATTTTTTATAAATAATTTTTGAATAAAGTTTTATAGGGTTTTTGAATATAATGATATACTTAGCCAATTATATCTATTAAACTTGTACTTATTTTTGAACAGTTTACTTTTGAATAAAATATAAATTTTTTTAAATTTTATATTAGCAAAGTGTATATTAGCAAAGATTTCGCTTTCACTTGCATTTTTTGTTTTATTATCCATTAATTTCTAATTTACATTAATACTTGTCCATACATTATAGTAATATTAGTATGATCATTTATCACGATAAATGATAAGGAAGTCTTGCAGGAAATAACTTACGAAGATGGTTAGTATGATCGTTAGTATATAACAAACATAAATTGTAGCCTCTTATTTCCGCTTAATATCTCAATGTAATGCAGTAACAAAAATATCGAACAACATCAATTACATGATATTTTGTATATAATAAATTTATTGAATGTGTATTCACACAAACTGGCAAAAATTTAACAATAAAAAAGAATATATTGATATTTGCATATTTAAATTTTGTTTTTTAAAAATCATTTTTTTAAATAGAAAAACATTGAAAAAAATGTACATATTTTTTAATAAAAAAATGCAAATTTGATTTGTTTCTACTTAAATCTCCAGCACCTAACAAAGAGTTTGAACTTTTTTAGACAATATTGGAAGTTCAGAATAAGCGGAAATTAGTTTAGATGATGATGCAGATTGTAACTTGTAGACAATGCAGAAAAAAATTTTAGATTTTTCTATAATGAATTTCAAGAGTTCAAAGGATGATAAAAATTATGATTATTATATAAGTATTATTATATATGTTATAGTTATTGTTAAATAATAACTATAACATATTTTCTAAATTACATACTGCGTGTTTATACCTAAATAAAAAATAAATAATACTCGTGTTAAGATTAATTTAAATATTTATGCTAGTTATTAATTAAATATACTTATTTCTGAAAAAGTACAAAATTTTATAAAGTCCATTATTTGATTTTTTTTCTATTTATATCTCTATCCCTACGTCTTTTATTATTCATTAAATATATCTGTCTCTATATCATATTATACGATTTGCTTTCTGTAAGAAAAGAGGAATACTTCTATTCAGGGATATATATATCAAACATGATTTTCACTTCTTAATGAGTACATCAATTTTACGTAGCGCTTTAATCTCGACATCTGTTAACTGGCATTAAAATAAAATCGCATTTGAATCGTAAAGTGCGTTAACGCTGGATTAGTTTAAAATCGAAAGTAAGCAGAAAGTGAAAGAACCAATCATGTAATAAACGAGGTGCGATTTCACTTGTATGTATGTAAAATATAACTGTTTACACATGTGTCATGGAACACTAAAACGAGAATAATAACCTGTATTCTTATTAATCCATAAAGAATATCACAAAGATATGATTATACATTGAAAAATTCTCTTTATTATAGAATATATATATATATATATATAGAGAAAATGATATAAAATTTGTTACATTTGTTATTGTATTTTATATTTTTAAATTATTGAAAGTAAAAAGAAACAACATTCTCGGATTACATAGGTAATATTTAAAAATAATTTAAATAAAGAAGAAAATTGTCTTTTAAGTAGTTATGTACTTAGAAATATTATAGACATGTTTAATCATAAAAATCGAGAGTATATCGTAATGGATTACGTAAATTGCATAAAAGTTCATAATGTAATATCTTTAATTAATTGGTTATATATACATAATATGTAAGTGACTAGAGATTATTAATCAACCGTGATGACCGTTCTTATATAATAAATGTAATAAGCGACATAATTTCGAATAAGAATAAGAAATCGAATAAGAAATAAAATGGGTGGGAAAATCAGAATTCTTCGCAGTCGCTTTTTCGAGGAGTCATGCAATTTGTGCAACTTGAATTGCGGTAAATCGATTTCACTTGAAGGTAAAGAAAGGAAGTTATTTCATCAGAACAATTTTCTCTTTATGAGTATGTAATTCTTTTCATCTTTTATTTTAATTTTAACTAATAACTACTACTTCCTGACAATGTTGCTATGATATTTGATGAAGAAGCAACTCATTTACTTTCATTATATTTGGAGAATAATGCGTCGATTTTCTTTCGAAGGAGAAATCATACCGGCGAGTTTCCGGGTGTGTTTCTTTTTTAAGTGTATTTTGATACTTTCAAACTAGATAACTCGCAAAGGTGACCACACTCTACTGAAAGGTATGTAAGTCTATCTACAAATCAAAGCGTGAACGTCGAAATTTGCAACAGAGAACTTTGCGAAAATTATGTTTACGACAATGTGCATGTGAAACTACACGTGAAAATTTGCGTAAACCACTTAGGTGAGAGTGATTCAAGTGAAATAAAGTGGTTCATATAGGAACTGTTTTCAAGAAAACAAGTCCACCGTTGTTGTTCAGTTTTCATACACGGTTCACTGACTATGTTTCTATTTATAAGGCGGGCTGCGAAAGAGACTTTTAGTCACCACTAAACTCCGCTCTCAGAAGAGTTAAGCGCACATTTAGCGCATATATAGAGTGAACATGTTCAAATTCGAAATACACGTGGGTATCGGATTTGAGTGTGAATTCGTTATGTTGTGTGATGTCGATTCATTTAATTGAGCGAGACGAGATAAATGCGCTTGTATGGATGCTTAATAAAGTGACGATTTTATTTTTAGTTCTCCTTTCAGTAATATGCTAATCATCAATAGTTACTTTGTTGAAACAGAAAAATACAGATCAAATCCATTTTAGACGATGTACAACTTGTAGCAAGTTTTATGTGTAATACGAAAATATTTTGTTAATTTTACAAAATCTTACAAATTGAGAATTTTGTTGTATGCATATTCATTTTGTTTGAAATTTATTTTATTTTAGTATAATGTGAATGATAAAACAGGAAATACATTTTCTCTGAGATTTTTCTAATAAAAATTGTGTTAAATAAGAATAATATGTGCACTTTTTTATGATTAATAATTTTATAAAACACACAGTAGATTTTATTTTGAATTTATTTATTTACTTTATTTATTTATTTTTATTTTACGCTAAAGTATTTATTATTTTATAATAGGTTAATAAATTATGAGTAATAAATTGATTTTTATCACTGCATTGGTTTTTAACAATTAGCTTATTAATTACTTAAAAGTTAATTTTTTTTTAATAACATTTATTTTAAATTAATTAAAATAGAAAGAAAAAACCGACAATTAAAAAAATACAATAAAAAATATAAAAAATATATTATAAATAAACTAATTATTTCCTAATTAGCTTAAATATTAAATATTTATATAAGTATTTGTAAAAGAGAGATAATGACAAAAAAAACGAGAAAAGATTGATGTAATAATACATAAATTTACATTTCTATACGTCTAAATTTACATTTCTATGCG